AGCCTGTAGTGGAGTGCCAGGAGTGTGAGACTGACACATCCTCCTCTAGAACTGCAGTGGGCTCATCACTGACCTCAGGGGACCTTGGTGATGTTAGCTCCTTCTCATCTAAGGCCTCAAGCCTCCACCGTACATCCAGTGGAGCAAGCAGTGGTCACTCTGCCACACACAGCGGCGGCAGCAGCTCAGGGCGAGGAACTGGAGCTGTCAAAGGGAAAGTGTGTGGGACAGAAACTGGAGAGTTTGCTTTACCCATTGGCAGAGGCGCCTTAGGAAAATTAAGGTATGTGCAGAGCTTTGGGAAAGGAAGAACAGGTATTTTGCAGAAGTGAACAGCTGGCTTGGGTGGAGCATGAAGCAGGGTGGACCCTAAACCAAGAATTTTCTGGGAAGGATCTGGCTTGATGATGAACAGAAATAAGGAGATAAGTCTTTGTTTTCACATCTGTTCTTCCTAAAGAAGTAGTTTGTTTCCTTGTGAGGCTTTGCTTTGCCTAAGCTCTTGCCAGTTTAGCAGTGATGAGGCAAACTTCTTGACCAGAGAATTCTTGTGAGATCACAGAGAAAATGGGGGGATCCTAATGAGGTGGCTTCTCTTTTCAGAACAGTTAACTCATAAATTCTCTAGCCCTAGGAAAGGAGCTGGTCAGCCAGCATCTCCACTCAGAGTTAGCCAGACAGGAGCACTGCCTTGTGAGGAAGAGGAGGATGCTATGCCTGGCACTCGTCAGGGTGGCAGAGCACCTGTGACACCTCGTGGGCGAGGAAGAAGAGGCCGCCCACCATCTCGAACAACAGGAACAAGGTACTCTGGAAAAAGGAGACTGTAACTTTAATTTATTGCCGAGGAAGAGAATGGGGAGCTGCTGTCTTAGTGTGACAGAGAAAAAGGAGTACTGAATGTTTCAGGAAGTAGTTTTTGGTGGTGGCATGTAGCAGCTGCAAGCATCTTGCCCAAGTATTCTTTGTTTAGTAGCTGTCTTTCCTGATCCTTCTGGGAGTGCTTTTCTCTTTTTTCCTTTTGGGACTGCTTTTCTCTTTTCTACAGAGATTTAGCTGGACTGCCAGGTGTGGAGGATCTGTCAACTACAGCATCACCTGAGGAGAAATCGTTTACTCGTTCAGTTCGCCTGCCAGATGGAGGGGAGAAATCTGACACTTCTGGCTTCTGTGCCTTACGTCGAAGTGACTCTCCAGAAATCCCATTACAAGTGGTGACTGGTCCTTTGGACTGTGCAGACTCATCCTCTGGGAGCAGCTTTGTGGGCCTCAGGGTTGTAGCAAAGTGGTCGTCAAATGGGTACTTCTATTCCGGGATGATTACCCAAGATGTTGGGGCAGGAAAGTACAAGCTGCTCTTTGATGATGGATACGAATGTGATGTGCTAGGAAAAGATATTTTGCTCTGTGATCCTATCCCACTGGAGACTGAGGTGACCGCACTCTCAGAGGATGAGTACTTTAGTGCAGGTAAGAGCAGTGCTTGAGCTCCATCCTTGGGTTTTCTGAGTTGCTGAATGCAATGGGAGATGGGTGCTTGTCCAGGAGGATGAGAAGCCTGGGTGTAGTTGGTTAATGGGTGTTATTTGCTGTCTTGTCAGGTGTGGTGAAGGGACACCGGAAGGAGTCTGGAGAGCTATACTACTGCATCGAAAAGGAAGGCCAGAGGAAGTGGTACAAACGAATGGCTGTTATCCTGTCTCTGGAACAAGGAAATAAGCTCCGGGAGCAGTTTGGGCTAGGGCCTTACGAACCTGTCACCCCCCTGACCAAAGCAGCTGACATCAGTCTTGGTAAGGGGAGGTGCTGTTGAGCTGCTGGCTGTGCTGTTATGCGTCTTGTGCCTTTGAGATGCTTCTAGTTCCTGATCTGAATTACCCTGATCTTAATGTTTAAATCTTCTGGGTATTTAGCAGTGCTTTTGGTACTTTATAATGGGATCTTTGAGATACTTTTCTTGTTTTGTGTCTTGCTCAGAGACTTAGTGGTATTGACTGGTTTGTGGAGAGTGGCCTGCTTCTAGCACAGTGATGCTTGCTGTACTCATTTACACTTGGTGGATGGCTGCTATGATACAAACTCTTCAGCAGTATTGGGAGGAAAAGAGACAGGCAGGGTACAGGGCTTGAGAAGAAAGATAGACAAGCGAGGTATCTTTTTTTCTTGCTCTTCTCTGTCAGAGGGTGGTAGTGTGTACCTTCTAGGTACTATTGAGTTTAGCCACCTCTGTACATATAGGCAGGGTGAAAGCTCGTGGAGTTAGGTGACAGCCAGTGACTAATCTCTGCATACTATATTACAGATAATCTTGTGGAGGGGAAGCGGAAGCGACGTAGTAACCTTGGTTCTCCCAGCACTTCCAGCAGCAGCACAACTCCCACTCGTAAAGGGCAGGAGAGTCCACGCATCCCACCAGGCACACTATCTGGGAAAAGGAAACTTGTTGCTTCTGAAGATGAGAGATCCCCAGCTAAACGTGGCCGCAAGTCAGCAATGATAAAGCCTGGTGAGAACCTTATTTTCTGCTCTTAAACTTGCATTCAGCTATTTTTTTCCTCCCTGGTATTTCTGTAATTGATCTTTCCACTTCCCATAAGCAAAAAGTAGATGGGATTGCTTGTTTGCCCTGCAGGATTTGAGACTGATTCTCCCTGGATGCATTCAGCAGCCAGAGATATTTTTAGCATAGTCCGAGTACTTACCTGCCATCTTTTCAGTTCTGCCTTTTGGAAATGTTCTGACCTTAATGTTGTGATTTGCCTCTCTCCTTCCTTATCTCTTTTCTTACCTGTTTTGTCAGCCCTGAAATGCCTAGCTGTTAAAGGGACCCCTCACAGCAGTAAGTGTTGTTTCAGGATGTTGATAGATGGCGAACATTGTCCCATTAGTCACTCAGGTTTGATATGAAGATTCTTTGCAACCAGAAGGGTAAAAGATCCCTACCTATCCTAGTGTAATCCTAACCCAATCCTGTCTCCCTCTGTCTTCTCCAGTAAAATAGCTGAAGTTGAACATATCCCAGATCTTACACAGGGTCTTTGTGCTGAACCTGACTTTCGAGACTCATGGTGCTTCTGTCTCTCTGCAGGGGCTGTGAGAGCTGGAGAGTTTGTAAGCACCTGTGAAGGTGTAGATGCTGTAGATGCCCCAGTACTGGAGGACCATCATGGACCCTTGCCCCACAATAAGACCCTCTTTTTGGGCTATGCCTTTCTCCTCACCATGGCAACACCCAGTGACAAATTGGTCAACCACCAGAAGCCATCAGATGGTCCTGCAGGGAGCAGTGAGGAGGAAGAAGGTGAGGCAAATCTTACCCATTGCATTTCCAAGTGGAATGCTGTGGCTTTAGGAAAAATGCTGAATGTTGTCTGATCAGGCATTTGTGTGAGTGCTGTTTTACCCTTTTGCTCTTTAATCCTTTGCAGAAGGTCCTAAGACTCAGTCTTTGTTTTAGAGAATTTACAGCCTGAAATGTGGCAAAACCTCAATGATGACCATAGGGCTGTTCAGCAAGTTAAGAAAGGTGTGAAAATTAGTGACATCAGCAGTCTCAGAATACTAATACGAGAAGGAAGGTTTTGAGAGATAAGGGATAGTGCTGGGAAACATAGGACTTGAAAGCGTGAACGGGTTGTTCCAGTTTGCCTTTGCTAGGGTCGTGTTTCATGCAGTGAACTGCAGCATGGAAAAAAGTGACAAGGTGCTCACTTGGCTAGTTTGGCCAGTACAGTGCTTCCCTTTCCGCCTTTTTTTTTTTTTTTTTTTTTTTTGACTCTTCCAGGGGTTTTCCCTAGATATTCTTGGGAGAAAGGCTAGGGTCCCTTACTGGAATGGATGAGGGCTCTGTAGACTGAGGATTGTGTGGACATGAGCAGATAGTTTATAGCCAAAAATTGAACTTTCTGTTTCTGCTGTAGAATTTTTAGAGATGACTCCATACGACAAACATTACATAGCACAGCAGCTGCGAGCAGGAGCTGGCTATATCCTGGAAGACTTCAATGAAACCCAGGTAAGGGCTCACCTACTAATCTAGAATGATAGTCACAGAATAGTTGAGATTGGAAGGAATTTCCATAGCTTATCTTGTCCAACCCCCCTGCTGAAAGCAGGATCAAATAGAGCAGATTGCTTAGGTCCTTGTCCACTTGGGTTTTGAGTATCCTCAAGGATGGAAACTCCACAACCTCTCTGGGCAACTCGATCCCATGTTTGACCACTCGCAATTTTATTTATTTATTTATTCATTCATTTATTTAAATAGAATTTCCTGTATTTCAATTTGTACCTGTTGCTTCTTGTCCTTTTAGTGGATAACACTGAGTAGAGTCTGGCTCCATCTTTGGTACACCCTCCTATCAGTCATGAATATGCATTGTAAGACCACCCAAGCCTTCCCTTCTTGAGCTTAAACAAGCTCAGCTCTCTCAGCCTCTTCTTGTATGTCAGATGCTCCAATGTCTAGATATGTTAGTGGCCCTTGGCTGGACCTGCTCCAGTACGTCTTGTGTTTTTGTTGTACTGCAGAACCTAGGAGTGGATGCAGTACTCCAGATGTGGTCTCACCACAGGTCTGTGCTCTCGAACACTTAGAGGTAGAGCTCTTCGCTCTTCACTCTTCACTTACCAGATCTACTTGGACAACTAATTTCGTTTAGTGTCACTTTATTAAAAATCTAAATTTAAGTAAGAGAGAGTAAATTGTTCTTGGAGCATCTTGCCTGAGGATGGAGAGACTTCTCTAGTGACTTACTGAGTCTCAAACTAAAAGATGAATCTTCTCCTTTGTCTGAACTGGAAGAGACAGTTATGATACAAAAACTACTAGGCAGAGTTTTTGCATGTGAACTGCATAGCTTGAAATAGGTGATTATTACAGGTACTCCTGCTTTCAGAATCTGTTTATCTAATTCACCTTTCACATAATATGGCTGTGAAAATCAGGGTTTCATTTGTTTTCTTCTTTAAAGTGTTTAGCAGCAGGATAACTTCTGGGTTTTTTTGCAAGCACTGTCTCCCATTTACATGTCTTTTCATCTCCCCTGAAGTGTAATGCAGCGTATCAGTGTCTTTTAATTGCGGACCAGCATTGTCGAACTCGGAAATACTTGCTGTGCCTTGCCAGAGGAATCCCTTGTGTGTCTCATATCTGGGTCCATGATAGCTGTCATGCTAACCAGCTTCAAAATTATCGGAATTACCTTTTGCCAGCTGGTTACAGCCTCCAGGAGCAAAAATTGCTGGAATGGTAAGTGCCAAATAACCATGATCTGAGTTCACAGACCAAGGATTTAATCAGAGAGAATTGTTATGCTTGGGAGGCTCTTGAATACTACAAGTACTGAAGGTGTCCCTAGTACTGCTCCCCATGCTTTCCCTTCCATACAGGAACAGAACTTCCTTCTCTTTCCTTGGATTTACAGTGACCTCTAATGTCAAGGTACATTTGGGTGCCATATACACAAAAAAGACAGTTTCCTGGGAAGTAAGAAAGATGTCAGTCTCCTCATGAGGAAGACTGAGTTCAGGCAAGGCTTCCCATACACTTGGCTGACTTCTCTAATTGCTCAGAAATGGATAAAGGAGAGCAATACTACTGCAATTTCCTTTTCCTTTGGTACATTTTGAAGCCAGCTTCTGTGTTTTCTATGGAGTTTAATCCAGTAGGTCTGTTCTGAGAGAACAACTGTCCGGTCGGAATCCTCAGGCAAGGTGAGGGGTGGACAAAAGCAGTTTGTAAATCTCTGTGGGCTTTTGGGCAGGAGACTGGTGCCTGCCTGCTCAGCCCTGTCAAAGCGGAGGTGTTTTGGATACGCACAGAAAAGGTGGTTCAGGATTAAGGAGGAGCTTAGCCTAACTTTGGGTTTAGGCTGCTGCACACACACCCCACCAATGTTGTCTAGCTCTGTTTTACTATCTATAAACAGAGGATAATTGTTCCAAGTATTTCAGGAGGAGTGGTAAGAGATTAGGTCATTGTATGCAAGATATTCAAAGAACCAATATGGGAGCCAGTCAGGTGACTAGAAGTAGATAATGGTCCTCAAATACGGTTTCAGACTACTGGATATTCTTAGCAGTCTGCATTTCTCTTCTTTATTCTACAGGCACCCACGAGAAAACCCATTCCATAACCTGAAGGTTCTCCTGGTGTCAGATCAGCAGCAGAACTTCCTGGATCTGTGGTCTGAAATCCTCATGACGGGGGGAGCAGCATCTGTTAAACAGCATTACTCAAATGCTCACAACAAAGGTACTCATTGGCCAGTTTCTCAGGCCTAGTAGTGGGGAATCTCATGCCACTGTGGTCTCTAGCATGGTTTAAAACCATTTAGGATGGCTTAGAAGGTTGTCTAAGCATAAAGGAAGGCAAAGTGCAGACACTAGCTCTCTGCTTGAATGTAATCTAGAAGATTACATCCGGAAGATCTACCTTCCAGAGAAGGAGATGCTGCAGCAATTCAGGACACAAGCCATCAGCTTCCAGCCTATGTTGAAAGGGAGAAATAGGCAAGAGTTGCTCCTGGACCTTCTGTAGGCCACTAAAATTGTGCTTCCTTGTCCTTCTGAATTCGGCTGTCTTTCCCTCTTCATATGGGATGTAGGCCCTAGTACTCACAGCCTGAGGTCAGGACTCACGGTTATCTAGTCCTGCCTGTAATGCTGGCTGCTGGTTTTCTGTTAATTTCTATGTGGACTAGAGGGAGTCTCGTACTTGCAAGGTGCAGTGCTGCTGTAGAGTATGTCTTAACATTTACGAAGAGAATTCACTGGCTAGGAATGAGAGAACATGAAAGAGAGATTCATAGTGGTGAAACACACTGATCTGCTGCTGCAGAGAAGATCCTTTTTCCTTTTTTCACCTGACAGATGCCTGTCTTTCCTCCTGTGCAGATATTGCTTTGGGTGTTTATGACGTGGTGGTGACTGATTTTTCCTGCCCAGCTGGTATCTTGAAGTGTGCAGAAGCTTTACGGCTGCCTGTTGTCTCGCAAGAGTGGGTGATCCAGAGTCTTATTGCTGGGGAGAGAGTAGGCTACAAGCATCCAAAGTATAAACATGACTATGTCCCCCACTAAACTAAAACTTTGCCCTGCTGTCCCACTGTTGTGCAGACTGTGTTTTAATCAGGTTTTAAATGTTTGTGTAATTGGACAGTGTGCATGGATTACTGTATATAGTTTTATCTGCTGGACTTTTATGATGAAATAAATGTTCGATCTCTTGTGGTAGCTGCTGGGACTCCTCATTTATCTAAACTTATTGCAGGGCTGTGCCTCCAGAGGAGGAGGGCAGAGAGAAAAGAAACGCTTACATTTCTCTAAGCTGAATAGCACTAATATTCTACTTTCAGTAAAGGCTGACCTCAACACAAAGTCAATTATAAAGGAAGAGAAAGGTGTTCTCAACTGGCAGCCTGTATTTACAAAAGTGAATACCCTATATGGGCAAGTTCAGGGCAGCAGCAGCACTTCTGTTTGTTGGAAGAATACAAAAATTCAGAAATTCATTTTTCCATGAATTTCATCAAGATGTTGCTGAAGTGACTGGTAAGAATTTCTAGGACAAAGTGCCATTTTGTTTTGGCTACCTCTCTTTTTTTTCCTGTTGTGACTATATAGGTATTAACCTGCCCTAGTGCAGACTGGCACTACCTAAGTAGAGATATAGACACAGGGACCTAGGACAACTAAACCGCTGGGGGACTGAGGTGCAAAGAGCACGTAAGTGCTGTGTATCTTTGTTTAAATGGTAGTGGGGTAAATAATCTGCTGCTGAGCTGCTGCATTCACAGCCAGGCACTTTAACAATGCTGTAGGCTAGAGGTATACCCAGCCTTGTACGGAGTCTTTAGTCCCCTACTTCAAAAGTGTAAGTTTTTCTTGATGCATATTTTTTCCCCTATCATTTCCTAGCTCAGTCACCTTCTGACTGTGTTGGTCTGTAAATCCCACATCCAAACTTCAGCACGCTTTCTGCAGTTTTCTAGCTTTTTTCACGGTCACGGGATTTTAAACTTCGCATAAGGCACAGTCCTACCATGAACAGCTGTAGTGCATTGAAGATGCCAGGCCTTATACTTGCTGTCTGTTGTTACTGTGTCTTTCTGAGTGAGCAGAGGATTTTTTTTTCCCCCCAAGGACATGTAACTTTCTTGAGAGCTGCAGCTTCAGCTACTGTGAAAATACCAACCCTTTGAGGGGAAGGCTGGTTTCCTGGCAGCCTTTGTGTTCAAATTGGGAAAGCTGATACTACACCCCAGTGACAGGCTCTCTTCTGCCACTCATCCAAATGGACTTAGGCAAGATAGACTGTTTGTTACTGCAAGGCTAGGAAATCTTAGTAACATGCAAGAAGTTCCTGCCAGATACTGCTTTTCATTGAAATAGGATGCTGTGCCACTCTAGTCCCTTTGCACTGAGGTGCAGACATTGACAATATCCCACATAATTGCATGACAAGATGGTTTTATTTTGGTTCAGTAGGATAGTCGCTAGTAGCATTCTAAAAAGTCTTAAATGAAAACAGTACATTTAGAGCTGACATCCTAGTTAAGTTTCTCCTCAGTTTTAGCTCTAGCACACTTTTCTGCCAGCAGAGGGAGCTTTGTACTTTGAGTAGGGCAAAGCTCCTACTTCTGTCTTGATGTGCATAATTTTAGCACACAAAATCTATTAAGTTTTATAGAGAAAGCATGTGATATCACTAGTGGCTCCTTTACATATACAGATATGCTAGAACAGTGCACTGTATGAGAAGAGATTCTTAAAATCTATTCCTTCTTCCCTCCCCCTTTACCTCAAACTGCTATTGCAGTTTCATTTTCCTGGAGGTATGTATTTGATTAGTGGACGTTGTGTACTGTAAATCAGTTTACTGCACAAGTAGAACTTCTGAATACAGCCAAAACGTCATTCATCGTCAAGAACAGCAGACTACTTCCTCCATACTCCAACTTGCAAAGGATCGTAGTCCAGTTGAAGAGTCAAGACATTGTAATTCTTGTTGCTTTTTCACTTTCTGAAGAGGCACAAAATGCCTCCCTAGAAGCATTTGTAAGTATACGCGGGGCTGCAGAAAGCATGTTTTTACTAGTTCAGAAAAATGGAGTAGCTTTCTGCAGTCACTGGGCAGCCTCACAGAAGTGGCATTTCCTGCCAATTCCTTCTGAAACAGTGGTTCACCAGGCAAGGGCCAGCTACAAAGAAAAACTCAGTTGAGTGCAAACTCTCCAAGAGCACCAGTCTCCACTGCTTGACGCGTTGTTGGTCACAGCCTGAAGAAGAGGTCTTGGTGCTTAAACCCCAAAACTGCAAGAGAAGGGTACAATATTAACTACATGTTGAAAGAAACTCCCTTTATCAAGCCACATCAGCATTTTTCAGCCAATATGAACTAGTAGCTAGTTCAACTTCATGCCAAAACAAACTTGAAGGGGAGAAAGCCTATGAAAACCAAAAATTAACTCAATGCTGGTTTGTTACTTTTCTGTCATAGTATTTAGCAACACTTTGCTTTTAATTATTTTGGCTTACACAATCAATAAAAATGACTGATGATCATTTAGATCACTTTATACTTCACATACCTCAGGATAATGCTACAAGCAACCCTGAAGATATTCTTACCTGCCCAAGGTTCCTCCAGCCTGGGTGTAGTATTTGTTATAATCCAAGCGTAGCAGCAGTTGAGCTAAGTCAGAGTTTATCTGATGGTTGCGAACACTAGAGAGAATCTTGAAGAGAAGCGATGACTGACGACTGAATCCCTAGAAATTAGAAGAAGTCAGTTCTGGGCACTCTCAAGAGAGAAAGCAAGCAAGCAAGCCTTTCATCTCTGTTCCTGCCTAAACAATCCTTTAACAGCCTGAAGAAAAGAATCGCTGCAAGAGAAGTGATGCTTGTGGTCCAGTATAAGGTAAGCTGTCGGCCACAAGAATTGTTAGGTGTTAGGTATCTAAAGGGAGGGGTAGAGGCACAGGCTGATATCCACCTCCTTTCTGTCACAATAGGGTAATTCCTGCATATCTGCCCACATTCCTCCTCTCTGTGCACATAGCATTTTCGACTCGGGAACAGTTGATTAATTAAAATAATTGTAAGCACTCATATAGAAGGTCTCAGCTTAAACTCACTCCTGTTCTACAGCTGTTAAAGCCAAGATGACTGCTTAGGTAAATGTTTGCATGGGAGAAGAAAAGGTCCACATAAACATAGATTCACCTTCACCAAAATACTGAGTTGTGCGGCTCCCCGTTCATCTAATGGGCCCAGATTCTGACTGACCAGAGAACAAAAACTATGACAAAGATCCAGAATTTCATTTAAGCAGTGGAAAACCTGCAAGGGATAAAAAGTACAAGATAGTAGTTTAAACAGAATTCAAACCCAGAGAAAGCTGTTCTTAGTACCTGAAAAGGTGCAGTGTTCATAATCAAGATGTGGCTGATACTGTGTTTTTCAATCAGTAAGGAGGATGTTAAAGCATCTGTAGCATTTTTGTAAGGTTTTCTACAGAAAAAGGACTTAAATGTTACGCTGCATCTCTCCCCCCCCCACAACCTTTTGCAGACTCTGCTGGGGAAACAGCGATTGGCATGAGCCATCCACATAGGCACAGAAGCGCATTGGCTTCCCTGTCCAACCAGCAGGCCATCGCTGCAGCTTCGGGATGGAGAAGGAAGAATAAGGAGCAGCAAGAGCTGTGGTTCAAGGCCTTGGTTTCACTGTTCACAAAACTTGGAATTTCTTTTGTATCAGTTGGTCAAGGTAGCTTGCATCCAAGAGTGTTAAGAAAGCTCAAGTGCCTCACAGACATAACTGCTGGAACACTTAAAAGTTCCAGACTGGATAATTAGTATTCTGCCACCTTTATGCTATCGCCTCACAGAGTGAGCAAAATAATGAGACAGACAAGACCTGCGGTATCGCTGTGTTTCATCGATACCAGCCTTCTTTGGGAATGTTGTTGTGAGGCTCCATGTTTAATAAAAATACCAGCAACGCTGTAACATATTTTTGACTAAAACAACAATAAAAAACACCCTTAAAGTCCACTCAGGAACATCTCGACTATTTTTATCCTCTAAAGTCTGAGAGGGAAATTTTCCTAATCTGATGCATTTCAGAATGAGTCCCCCAGGAATACAGTTCCCAGCACTAAGCTAATTAGTACTTCTTTAATAAAATTGCTTGAGAAAAATACAGTGACAAAATTTAAGTTAATAAGGTTAACTGAATACTGGAATAACAATGATTTAAAATTGCCAGGAATGCAGCATCCACACTCACCAACTGTAAATTAAGTGATCTTAATTCAATTATCTGTTCTAGTCTATACCTGCTTTATTCCCAACATTGTAGTCTGTGCTCTGCAGGAGATTATCACTGATGTTTTTTAAAAGAGATGGTTTGTCTTATTGTTCAAAAAGGTGTGTTTCTTAGGGCAGTTGGAGAATTTGTAGGAAAAGGTGAAAACAAGACCTACTTACAGGTTTTAGGAGGATGAAAGACTGAGCCAACAGATTACTTAAGAAATGATCATGAGCCAATCGTATACTCTCAAAATCTCGCGTGGCATTTATCTGCTGCAGAAGCTGTGAGAACTGAGATTCCAGTACATCCACCTGATGGATATGTAAAGAAATCTCATTAGTATCTTGAGGAATGGGAGCACTTCAGACCAGCCAGAAGTTTTGTGCAAGAAACTTAACTTTCCTTATTGCTACTCTTACTTTAGAGGCTAAGGGTCACCTTCTCTCTGCCTCCTGAATGGCGAATTATATACAACAGTAGTACATAACGGGGGGGAACAATTTTTTATGCCTAAGTATTATCTAAGTAGAAAGGGAAACGGTCACTTTGTTTAAGATCAGCTATTGAAAAAGTATATAGCTAGCATGTAAACAAAGGTATTTGATTGTAGTCAACTCTGAATTTTACACTGGGAGATTCTCTCTGGAATCTCAGGGCAAAGGCTGTAGTGCAAAAGTTCAGCCAGACTACTCTGGAGAATCAGGAAAGCCAGGCCCCCTCAATTCAGCTGTTACGGCTATTAACAAAATGATACATAATTCTCACAAAATCATGCTACTAGTAACTGGTGTTTACCTTTGTAAAGTCTCTTTTTTACTTCAAATGGTCAGAATATGGCCTCTTTCAATTCTTTAAAAAAAAAAAAAAACCACCCAACAAAAAAACCAAAACAACAACTTGTCACTTAACTCAAACT